TATATTTTGCATATGGCACAAATTTCTTGCTTCATTCTGAAAGTTATGTAGAATTGAAGACTATTTTGGATATTTTTTTCGGCAGAAAGTATGAAGGCCAAGAAGTGAGATATGTGTAGCTATAATACTTCATGGTATGTTTACTGTTTCAGGCTTTATGGTCATTAAAATAATCAACAAACACATTCAGAGCAATCAGAAGTGCTAAAGATAGTATGTGTAAAATTCAGAGAATTATATATTTCCATTTCAAATGTAAAAATAAATAAAAGTAAAAATTTTAGGCAGTCACTGCAAATCTGTCAAATTTATGTTCAGACAGAGATAAGATCTTGCATGGCACTTCCAGGCTAACTTATGTCTGCTTCCTCTCTGCTTCCAACAACCTTTACTGGTAACTCACCCATTCTTATCTAGAGAACTCCTTGCCGTATCTCCCAATTTCATTCCACTTCCTTCATCTCCTTGTATGATCGGAGTGATCCCTTGACATCCTCCGAATCCCATTCTTGCCTGTTCTCCTGGATTCTCTACTTTCCGCTGTCATGGTGTGAATCTTTTCCTGTCACAGTCCTGCTCTTCATTCTTGGTACACATGCCGAAGCCATCCACTCAGTTGCAAAAGGGACATCTTCCTAAATTAGGATTTGGTTTGCTTCCTAAGTCTTTGCACTTCCTTCCAGAACCAGAAGTGAATTGGGAAGATTCTGTGGAGGCAAAGAACAAAAAAAGCTTTCAGAATAAAGTGAATATTGAAAGAAGCTAATGGAAGAAAATGATCGATACATTCATACATGCCCTGGTTTCTAAACTGCCTTTAGGGACATGAACTACCCTCCCCAGCTGGTTTGCGAAATTTAATGAAAACATGAATAATCATAAAATATGACCAATTCACAGCCCAGAATCTGGATGGAGCAGTCAGTTCAGCTATTAGCAGAAAGTAAACTGAAAGTGTAAAAAACTTTTTATCTTAAAAAGGTGTAAACATTGGGGCTCCATGCATTTCCTATGGGAGAGTTCCCAAAGTGCAGGGCCACGAACACAAAGGGTTCTGACATCTCAATGATTCATTCGTATGAGAAAGGGGCCTCAGGGACCGATTGTATGTCCTGGGCAGGTAATTTTAGATTTGGGATTTGTTAAACATGCCCAGAAGTTGGTCATGTCCAGGATAATGGACTGGGGTTTGTCCAGCTGATTTTGGGTTTCCTAGATTTTGATAAGCTCACAAAGTACAAGTGCCTATTATTTCTACACAGTCTTAATTCAGAGGACTAAAACTGTCCTTTCATGCCTATGAATTGGGCATCTGCACTAGTGGAAATACTACAGCCTTCGGAAATTAGATCAGTTCTTGAAGCGGGCTTGGTTTTCTCTTTGGACCATGAATGTTTTCTCAGCAGGACTCTCCAGCTTTTGAGATAAGTGTCTTGGTAATGGGCAGTAATGAAGAATGAAATATGCAGTGCCGGGTGGGGAGGCCGAAGACGGTTTAAATGGCATTTGCTGAAGCGTAGCTCTGCCTCTTAAGCTCTCAGCCTGCGAACGTGGCACCTTGGCTGTGCTGTTTACCTCAAGAATTCAATCACTCTAAAAGCAGCATTACCAAGGCCATAACTCCCCAGCTTGTGTCTCTGCAAATATGAAGTGTCACACAGGCAATTTTTTAGAAAAAGAGGGCTGCGTTTTCTACCAAAGACGAAAATTAACGCTCCACTGGCTTCTTTCCCCCCCTCCTTTTAATACTACAGTAAATGATTGACTTCTCTGTTTGCTTTTTCTCAAGGATTACTTGAGAGCTTTATGTTGATATAATAGTTTGGGGTTTGTGTATGGCCATTCCTCTTAAACAGGAAATCCTAGTGGGGAGCAAAATCCTTCTGGGCAGAGTGAAAAAATGGCATGGAATGTAATGTCTGTGGTAAACCATGGAACCCCCTCCCCATGTTCCACGCTGATTTCGGAGGATCAAGTAGGGACGGACTGGTAGAAGAGTTTGGGTATGCTGGTAGCCCACTCCCAGCCATTCCCACAATGCAAAGGCTGGGCTGAAAGCCTTTGCAAACCCGAATAAAGCCTATTCCTAATGTAGGATGGAATCCCTTCGTCCATCCTTGAACTCCTTCATGTTTCCCCCTGTGGTAAATAAGCAGTTTAGTTCAAACCAGGGCATTCTGCTTCTGTGCGGTGACACAACTGTTATCAATCTATTAATTCTGCATGCCAGCCTCAGCAATGGGATACATTTCCCTGGAATATAATTACAGGCTGCCCTAAGAGGTAGGGGATTAGAGGACTCCCCCACCCCCTTTTCTGAAAGATGGCTTCAAGGCGCACTTGCACTTCAGTGCCTGTCTTTACAACCACTATTGAGGGAATGATCCCATGGTCCCTGAGAGCTTCTGGGAAAACCAGCCCAATCGTCTGCTCCATTAAAGCAGGCATGGAAAAAAGACGGAGCGGGCTGCCTTCCGAGGTTGGGGAAGTGACCTGGATTGGTGGGAAAGGGCTTTCTGGTGAGGGGGTGGCAGGGGATGAGCTCTCAGGGTGCCTTTGCAGCAGCCCCTAGTTGTGGCTGTTCTTCCCTCCTTCCAACCCAACTGAGGCATGGGCTTTCCAACCAAAGGCTTTCTTACGGTAAAGCTGACCAGCTCAGCTGGCTTCCTGGCACAAAAGAAGAGAACTGCAGAAGTCAATAATAAAAGGTGGAACTGAGTTAGAATACTGGCTGTCAGGGAATGCAGCTTTTGCTGTGATTCCAAGCAGTGATTCCAAGCCTCTTACCTTCCAAACTGGGAAAAGCAAGGCAGTCGTTCCTGCTGCTGAAGGACCAAATGCTTGTAGTTGCTGGCATTTCTCAGCGGGTCTGTCCTCTTCACCCAAAGCCCTGCATCGGCATCAATGACGCTGCATCCCCCCTTCATCCCACCCCAGCTTGCCTGCAGGTTTTGAAATCTCCTGATTCTTAGCAACTGCCTGGCTTCTCTCTGGGTCCCCCGGCCCTCCCATTTCAGCGGCAGATTCTGGTCCTCCCTCTTTGAGTCAGACTTGCTATTTGCAGTCCTCAGAGCTCCCTTACGGGATGAGTGGGCCTAGTTCCCACCCCATCCTCCTCCCTCTGACACGATCCAGCTACATGGGCAAAAAAGCCCTTTATTGAAAAAAGTAGGGCAGGAGAACAGGGTAGCATAGAGCAGCTCTGCTGCACCTCCTGCCTTAGGTGTAGCATAGTGGTTACAAGCACAGGCCTGGGACTCGGGAGATCTGGGTTCTAGTCCCCAGTCAGCTGTGGATCTTCCTGGAGGCTGTCACAGGCTCTCAGCCCAACCTCCCTCCCTGGATTGTTGCTGTAAGGATGAGATTGAGAGGAGGTGGAGTGTTAGGGTAAGTTGCCTTGAGTTTCTTGGAACAAAGGCAGGATAGAAATATAATAAAATAAATGGGATAGCCGTAAACTTCTGAGTTGGGGGTCTTCTGAGCATTGAGGGTGCTGCTGCCTAGGATAGCTCCATACCTCGGAGCACAGGGCTTGGGAACGGCTTCCATCATTAAGTTTGGTGGCTTGCCACTGTGTGTCAAAATGAAGTGTATTTGTCATACTAATGATGCTTTGGATTATTAAATGAAATATTGCTTGATTTGCTAGAGGCTATTTATGCTCTCTGCTTACCTTTTGCATTTCTTAAGGCATGAACAGTGAATTCCTGCAAAATGAGATTTCCTTTTCTGTTGCCGGTCACCTTTGTTTTAATTGCTTTGTGATGAAGTATTTCCAGTGCTGCAGGGGAATGGTGAACTGATAAAATTAAACGGAATTGCTCAAGCATTTATCAGTCACTGGTTTTATTAAATCGTGTCTTGTGGAAAGGCACCTTAAGCACTGTGTCACATGTAAATTGGGGATGTTGCTGTAGCCACCTGCTTGGCCCTTGCCTAGACCTGAGCTTGTTATTTATTCCCTGAGTTGTACTGAACTTACGGACTAGAACTGGTGAGGCACTCTTGAGGTCTTTGGTTGGAAACTGGGTTGGCCATCAGCTAGAACAGAAACAGGTTGCTAACCCATAAAGCATAGTACTTCTTCAAAAGCCACTTCTTCTTTGAAGCTGTCTGACTTGCTCCTTAGTCCTGGTTCACCATGGAAGCTATGCGTTGTGTGTGCACACTGGGAAAAGTTGCCGGAACACTCATGACTCGTTTATAGCTTCAGTGGGAATTTGAGCTCAGGCAGTGAAGACGACATTGTTGTGGGACTTTCAGCAAGCTCTAGTGTCAAATCAAGGTCAGGGAATGTCTGGGGAGCAGGAAGGGGAGTTGTTAGTCCAGGTGGGTGGAGGTGATGGTCAGCTGGTCTGTGGGAATGGGAAAATAGCCCAGCAGGAAGTGGAATTGCAAGTCGTGGCTGATGGGAGTCCCAGTCTACCAGTGGGAGAGCAGAAGAAGACTTGGGAACTAGGCAGGTCTCACAGCAGGGACTGAGCAGTCGTCTGACACAGAGGTCCCTCCTCCTGTGGAGGTTATGTTGGTTGCTAGGAGACAGCACAGGTGGGAGATTCGGTTGATAGAGTTTCACCACACCCTGCCTGCTAGGATGTGCAGGCAGAAAGGGTATAAAGAAGTGGGGGACTGCGGGGTGTTGGACAGGACTCAACACTTCACTCTGGGTGAACTCAGAGATGTGCAGCTATGGAAAAAAACTCTGGAGTAGTGTGCTTACTCAGGAGGAGGACTGTGCCTCACAACCACATGGCAAAGTATGTGTAAACGAACCGAGCGTGTCTTCTCTCCATCACCCTCCCTTCCCCATCTTCTCCCTTCTAGATTACCAGTTTCTTGGGCCAGGGACCGATCTTCTTGCCTGCTTCTCTGGAAAACGCTGCATCCATTGCGGGCGTAGTCCTGATAGTACGAGCTAAGCAAAAACTTAAGTGCAAAGAAGCTCTGGGAAGTGGGGATTTTGAGAAGGGGGGAAATCAAACATTGCATTTTCTTCACAGGTCTCAGCAGTTGATTCCCTGGAGGGCTCCCTCCTTCAAGTGGAAGGACTAAGTGATCTGAGGTTGGAGCTTCACAGCAAGAAAATGAACATGCACCTGGTCCTGATAGATGAATTGCACCGCCATCTTTACATCAAATCCACAAGTAGGGTTGGACAGCAGAGCAAAGAAAAAGGAAAGATGAGGTGGGTGTAAAAATATCATTTACGTGGTAAAGAAGGTCTCGTTCCTTCGATGAGCAAGGCATTCTTTTGGGAAGAGTGGTGTGAACAGTTGAACATTTGGTGGTTCAGAGCTTGCTGCTGCTGCTGCTCCGATGGCCTCTTTCCTTCTAGCCATTTCTGGGGGTTGTCCATAGATGCTTGCCATGTAATAGCACTGGTGGCTAGCCTTATACTCGCTCTGAAAAAATTAAGAGTTCCAGAAGGAGGTGAGAAATTGCCCCCTCCCACAGGACTGCTTCCTGTCACTATGCAAAGGGCAAAAACTGGGCCTTAGATGGCAAAAGAGAGCTCTGAGTTTGTCAAGGGCACGTCCATCTGGTGTTCTGCCACTACTCTATGAGCATCCGTGGCTGAAGTGTCCACTGGACATCCCGTGGAAGCCTTCCCGTTGCCATCCCTGCTTTCTGATGGCCCTGCAGGAGGTCTTGCAGAGCTTGCCGTGGTGTCAGGTTATGTCTCTTTTCTGCAGCTCACTGGGGAAGGACATCTCTCCAGCGCCTCTGCTTGATGTCACCAACTTGTCCACTCCTCGCAAGCTCCTGGACTCCTCTCCGTTCGGCACCCCGGGTAACTCCAGTGGTGAGTGGTGGAATAGAAGCAGATCTTTCCATAGGCCCATTTCCACTGTTGGTACATGGCCTCATTCAGCTCAGCTGAAGATCGTTTGAGGAGGTGCAGGGATTTGGGGCTCAGGGGTGAACTGACTTGGAGTTAGATAGACTGGCAGCTTCTGCAGTGCAGAGAAGAGGCCTGTTCCCTTGTTTCTTCTTGCCCTTCCAGGTGGTGTTCATTGCAGCCCCCAGGCTAGCTGTGTATTATGCACAGATGTGCTTATTGGAGCCCAGCCTATCCTCAATTATAACACGGTGTCTTTTATTGATTACATTTATATCCTGCCTTTTTTTCCCTCGAAGGAACTCAAGGCGACTCACATAAACATCCTCCTCTTAATCTTATCCTCACAGCAACGACCTTCTGGGGTCGGTTGGGCTCAGAGTCCGATTTTGCAAGCAGCCATACATGTAAACACTGATTTATTATTGTCACCCCATTGCATTTATATCCTCCCTTCTTCCATCTTGTGAGGAACCCAATGCGCCTCCACAGCTCCATTTTATCCTTACAGCAGCAACCCTGGGAGGTGGGTGGGGCTGAGAGTCTGTGTCGTGAGCAGGACTGGAACGCAGATCTCCCCAGTCCCAGTTCCACACCCTTAGCCACTACTCCACATTAGCTCTCCAGCACCAGCTGATGTGCTTTCTTGTTCCATTAATGGTTACCTGTAGCAACATTCAGAGGCATACACAAGAAGCGGGAGCAATAGCTGGAGAAGGGAGAAAATGCACAAAAAACAAGTTTTGCTTCTTTAATTCAGGTTGTGGAATCGAACGTTCTGGCCAGAAGATGCTGTTTTCTGTATTTGTGAAGCGTAAAGGCAACCCTAAGGGCTTTGTTGCTGGGCACCTTGGCCTCCCCCCCCCCCCGCCCCCTTTGTGACCTGGAGTCAACACAAGTTCATCCCTTTTGTGTTTGCTGCTCAGCAAGGACTTGCTCCCCGGGGGATGGATGTGGGGCTCCCTGTTTGTAACCGCCCGGTCCCTTCAGCAGAAGATGCCGTCCCTCTCCACTGTGAAGGAAGCAACTTTTTGAACGCTTGTTTCTCCTATGGTGGTGCATTGTGGCAGCTTTCCCATCTGGTCCCCAGAACGAAGCATGGCTGTTACCTGCAGCTCTGTGGATTCCTGTTCCTTGCCCTGTGATTTCATCAGTTCTGCGTGTGGCAGGTAGATCCACGAGCACGTACGAAGAGCCCTGCTGCCCCAGGCCAGCGGTCTATTGAGTCCAGCGCCCTGTTCCCAGCAGCAGCCAACCAGGTGCCTCCAAGAAGCTCCCCAGCTCGGGGTCTAATGGGAAGAGCCAACCCCATTGTTTGTCTTCTGGCACCTGATATTAGGCATCATCAGAAGGACGTGGTTGGGGTGTTCCTGAATTTACTCCCGGGGGATTTTGTTTCGTAATTCTAGCACAGGAGAGGGAAGAAGTTCTCAGTGCATAGTTTTACAAAGTTCTATTTTACAAAAGTCTATAAATCCTATTCATTTTTTTCCACCAGACTAAGATTCCCCAAATGCCTTTCCTCCTGCCCACTGATAATTATGTTTTCTGCAGCTTTTCCAGCTCAGTAGTCCCCTTTCTGGCATTCCATTTGTGGCTGCAGCATCACCTTATATAAGGTGTAACATTGCTGTATCGTTTCCCGCCCCTTCCTAAATAATCGGCAGCCTGCATTCTGCCCTTCTGACTCCCATTCCACACTGATTTTATGTTTTCAGTGAGCTTTCCAGCACAATCCCAAGATCTTTTTCCTGATGAACTGTTGCCATGACTGATACTGTAGCTGCCTTCTTTGGCATGAAGGTGGGATATAAAGTTAAATAGTCGTTCCTGCTTGTGAAATCAGGTTTTTTTTTACTCATTAAAGTTCCTCTTCTGTTTTGCTATTCTGGGTAAAGTGTATGCTCCAGACTTGGTTTGAGCTCGGCGTCCCACGATTTGTGAGCATTTCTTGTATATGATCGCTGCATGGCACCACTAAGAGGTGGACAGGAACAGAATGCTGTTGCAAAACTTTGAAGGGCTCACTCTGTTTGCTTCTTATTAGTGGCACATCTGGCCATGGCTAGAATTTCCGCGATTGAAATTATGCTGGCGAAGGAGTTTCAGGAACTCTCAGAGTGGACCATTGGGGCCCTGTGAACTTCTGTCCTTCTAGATAAAAAAAAAAAATGGTCAAAGCAGGGCATAATCTGGGAAAGCATAAATTATGTAGAGTATGGAATAAAATTTTACTAGCTGCTCGTAAAAATGAGACAGCTAGTGAAACATACTCTGATAAATAGTCACAAAATGTGATCATCCACATGAATAAAAAAAAAAACCAAGACCCAAGAGGTCTTGATATGCTCTTGGTGTTGATTTGGGCTAGGGGAGGGGGTTCTGGCTGCTTTATTGCTGCCATGCCCCTCCCTCTTTAAATGCTCTGTCATACAGATTAGCCTGCCATTGAGAGAGGAAATCCAATTTTATGGGATGGATCGTAAAGGTGGGAAAGTAATGGGGTGATTGTTAGAGAGTGAAGATTTTCAAGGGTCATTGCTATTGATTTCTAGGGTTCGGTGTAATTCAGTGTAAATAGCTGAATTTAAATTCAGTGTAAATACCTCTTGGTTTATGTTCTGGTTTGCTTGTGCTGTGAAGTTATCAGAACCGTGATTTTTGTCCTGGACCAGGCAGCACTGAGTCGGGAATAGACATGCTCACGTAGTTTGCACCTGGGATCCTGCAGTACCACTCTGTCTCCACGGGGCCATAAACTGTTATGTGAACCCTGATCCTGCCCAAGGCAACGCTGTCGCTGGGTGGTGGAGCTCGTGCTTTGGGGGCAGAAGGCCCCAGCTTCCCTCCCTGGCATCTCCAGGTGGGGCTAGGAAGGGATGCTGCCTGGATCCTGGAGAAGCTGTCAAGCAGCATTGACTGTCCTGGGCAACATGGACCAGCGGCCTGGCTCAGTCAGGGGCAGCTTCCTGGGTTCCTGGGCCCACGGTCAGCATGCACAGAACACTGGATTTTGTTTGATGAGCACATGAAGTCTTGAGTTTTTCAAAGTGCAGTTCACTTTGAAACTGAGCAAACTTTCAAAAGGCAGAGGGTGGTGTGCCATAGGGGCCTGCTCTTCAAAGAAGGAAAGCCAACTCCCCCCCACCCCCCCCGGCCCAATACCCAGTTGTGCTGTCTAAGTCCCTGGATATGTCTAATGTTGCTTTTTATTTTCCAGGGAGAGAGATCAGCTTGATGGATATCAAGGACGATTTAGATTTGGATCCTGAGGAGAACAGCTCTGCCTTCATGGGCATCCTCATCAAAGGCCTGGCCAAGCTGAGGAAAATCCCAGAGACCGTGAAGGCCATCCAGGAACGTCTGGAGCAGGAGCTGAAGCAAATTGTCAAGAGATCCACCACGCAGGTGGCAGACAGTGGCTACCAGAGGGGAGAGAACATAGTCCAGGAAAACCAACCTCGGTAAGAGCATTGCATTGCATTGCATTGCATTGCATTGCATTGCATTGCATTGCATTGCATTGCATTAAATAGGCCTCAAAATAAATAGCATTCCTGATAGAAATAGGAAGCTTCAGGCTGCAAGGAGATCGATCTGCCTTTTCTTTGGGATGTTCAAACCACGCCACTCCTCTGTGTATCTGTTCCTCTTTTAATCCAGGGCACTGTGATCCATGCTGCTGAACAGATCATGGTGACCTGTAGAAATGGCAGCTCTCCCTGTTTCCCTTCTTGAGCTGCACAAAGTAGCGCAATACTTTCTGGTTCGATATCGCCAAGGTTATCACGAATCACCAGACATCATCACTGTAGAACAGGTGCAAAGAGAGCCTCAGGTTTGGCATATAAATTGCATCTTCATCATATAGTCTTGATTGATCCTAGCAATGAATACCAATGAAAGAAAGTGGCTCTAACTCTCAAGCTTGCAGAAGAAACGTTTTTAAAAAGTGATGACATAAATATATGATTGGATGCAAGAAGTCCAGGGTTTGTTTTGATTTTCAGCTTGGGACTTTTCATATTCAGGAAAATGAATAGATGATATGCTAATGGCACATGGCCTTGAATGATAATTTGACATCTGGTACATTCATGGCAGTGATGCGCCAATCACATTATATACCTAAACAGGGTGAATTCCCCGTAATTGTGCCGTGCCCATAATTCCTGAGAGTGCTTTAGTGTCCACAGTCTCTGTGACTAGCAGCTTGTAGACAAATCCTTCTAGATGGAAAGTGTGAGTCAAGCAGAGCTGGCGGCCTGAGTTCACAGGCAGCCCAAAGCTGTTGACACTGAAATCTGGGCTGTCTTTTTTAATTCCAAGAAGTGCTTCTTCAGGTGCCAGAGATGGTACTTTTAAGGGTCAGTACTGTCTTGCTCCTTGTCAAGGTTTGTATCAATGCAGGGAGACAGATCTCAGGCAGTTGCCAATTTGAAGTTTACAGAATTAGAAGAAAGACTTGTTGAATCTCCCCAGATTTAACAGAGATGCAAAACAGGGTGTTCTTTTTGCCTGTTAAGGTATTTTTATGCAGCTCTTCAGCCGAAAAGGCTCTCGGAGCAACTTAGATAAATCAATAAAACATGGCCCCTGATCTGAAAGATGCATTTGGAAAGATATGATGAGCGAATGAAAGAGGTAAAAAGCAAGTGGGTTTGTTATTGCATTGCGCCATCAAGTTGTCTCTGACTCTGGTGACCCTAGGAATTAACGCCCGTCAAAATACCCTGTCCTTGACAGGCCCACTGAGCTCTTGTATACTTGTGGCTGTGACTTCCTTTATGGAGTCAGTCCGACTTATTGGTCTTCCTCCTCTTCTGCTTTTGACTTTCCCTAGCATAATTGCCTCCTTCAGGGAGCCTTACCTTCTTATGATGTATATGACAGCTTCAGTTTTGTCATTTTTGCTTCCAAAGAAAGTTCTGGCTCAATTTGATCTACGAGCCACTTGTTTGTCTTTCTGTCAGCCCAGAGTATTTACAAAGCTCTCCTCCAGCACCATGTTTCAAATGCATCATTTTTTCCCCTGTCAGCTTTCTTGACTGCTAAGATTCCACAACCAACCATAGCGATCAGGAATACAATAGTGTGTATGGGCTTGCCCTTGGTCTCCAATGAAACCTCCTTACATTTAATTATCTTTTCTAGTTCCTTCATTCCTGCCCTTCAGAGTCTCAGTCTTTTTTTAATTTCTTAGCTTCAATTTCTCTCTGAATTGATGAATGAGCAACGATATGTAAAACCTTTGACAATTTCAGTTTCTTTGTTAAAGTTGTTAAAGTCTTCTGCAGTCATGATTTTTGTTTCCTTAATGTCTAGTTGCGGTCCCGCTTTTTATTTATTTGTTTGTTTATTTATTAAAACATTTTTATGCTGCCCCATTCGCCGAAGCCTTGGGGCAGCTTACAACAATAAATTACAATAAATATAAACATTAAAAATCCAAAAAATACAATATAAAATAAGCCGCCCTGGCCAGATAAGATCAAATAATACTAACAGTTAAAATGCCGCTTAAATAAAAAGGTCTTCGCCAGGCGCCGAAAAGCAAATAACGACTGCGCCAGGCAGACCTCTCTGGGGAGCGCATTCCATAACTTAGGCGCCACCGCAGAGAAAGCCCTCCTCCGAGTAGCCACCCTCCTAATTTCTTCCACGGAGGGTTCCCGGAGAAGGGCCTCTCCCGCTGATCTCAAGTGGCGGCTGGGCATATATGGATGTAAGCGCTCCTTCAGGTAACGCTCCTTTTGCATTTTCTTCTTTCACTTTCAGCAGAAGTCATTTTCGTTCAGTGTTGCTTTCTGCCAGTAGAATGGGATCATCTGCATATCTTAACTTATTGATGTATATTCTGCCATTTTTCATTCCTTCCGCTGATCAGCTTTTCTTATGAGATGTTCTGCCCACAGATTGAACAAATAGGGAGATAAAGTATGACCTAGGCTTTGCCTATAGGATACTGTTCTGTTTCTCCATATTCTCTCCTAAGAGTAGCTTTTCAGCTTTACTTCAGTGTGTGATAAGAGTTCACAGTTGTTACCTCAGTCTGCTCCTGGCCTTGTATTGGCAGCAAAAATACAGATTCTCTATCTCTTCCAATAACATCATCTATTTGATTTCTATATTGGCCATCTGGTGATGTCCATGTATTCCGTTGTCTGATTGGTTGCCTGAAGTAAGCAATAAACAGATTGCTGGCTTCACAGAAATATATTGTTCATTCTCCTGCTTTGTTTTTGACCCTTAGACCAAATTCTTCAACAACAATTGATTCTCCTTTGTTTCCTGTGTTTGCATTCTAGCATGTCTTGTTTTGATGTATTAATCAATTTCTTCTTGAATAACTGCGTACATTTTTGATTTCTTCTTCAGCATTCGTTGTTGGAGTTAATGATAGTTATATTGATAGGTTTTCTGAGAATTCCGATTGATAGGATTCGGTCGGAGTTTGCATGATAGCCCCTTCCTGCCTGTGCCAAATCTTGCCTCAGTATTAGAGCCACTCTGTTTCTTCCGAGTGTCATTTCTAGAGTAAAACACATTGTGTTTCTCTGACCAAAAATGTGCCATTACAGTCCATTTTTGTTTGCTCACACCAAGTACTGTGATGTTTACCCATTTCATTTCCTGCTTTATGGTTTCCAGCTTGACTTGATTCATATTTCTCACATTCTAAATGTACACATTATCCAACACCGAACCTGCCTTTCACCTTTGTGCGAGTCCTTCAGACTAGTAGCTTGTGAAGTGCCTTCTGACCAGGGAATCTCTTCTTCTGGCACTAACTCTTGCCTCATTTTGGATTGTTTCATTGTAAGATTTTCAGAGAAAGAGCAATCAGAAGTTGCTTATTTTTGTCACCTTCTGCACAGTACTGACCAGAGAGTTAGCTTGAGTTTCATTGTCTGAGTTTCATTGTCTGTGAGAGTTCTTCTGCCAGAGTCATATTCAGCAACTGCTGCTGCCCTTCAGCTATTTCTTTGCCCCCATCCCCATTAGACATATCCATTCTCTTCTGATGATGTGGCCGTTTCTCCCGAAGAGGATGGGTGTATCTTAGTCTCAGCTTTGACCATTCTGCCTTGTGGGACTTTACTAGTGAAAGGCATTGCTCTTGGCTTCTCTGATGCTCTCAAACCCCTCAGCACTTTCTGATGGCTTCCAAGAGTGGGGAAGCAAATTAGTACAAAAAGTTAAATGGGAATTCCAGTTTCTCGCTGGAATGGGAACGGGGGAAAGTGGAATCTGGTGCGATGGATGTTTCAGCAGACCTGATAGGACTTCCCCACTTCTCATGTCCTTTTGCTGTGGCTTGATGGAGTGCCGTGAAGAGTCCCCCCCTGTGACGGCAACTGTCTTTGGCTCCCCATCTCACATTTTGACAATGCTGGATCTGGGAGAGAAGGGATTGGACTCTAAGGGCCTATCCAAAAGAGAAGCCTCTCTTTTGTAAACAATCCAAAGCCAGACAAGGACCTTGCTGTGCACTTTTTGAATGCGCCTTTCCCCATCGTGCCCTCCACCTGCCATTCTTTCCTTCCAGCCTCTGCAATGTTTCTCTTTCCCGGAGCAGAAGATGCTTCATGCTTATCTGTGAGTGTTGCTTTAGCCGGAAAAGGTAGCTGTGATGAATGCCACCGCCCGAGCAGGAAAGTTTCCTAGGCCATGTAGTGCAAAGTGTTCTCAGGAAAAAAATGCTGGCTTGGTTTGACTTCATGCCATGGTGGAGCATATGCTTAAGAAGAGCTTTGTGCTGTGGCTGCACTGCATCCTACCTGTTTTCCTTTTTGGTGGCCGGGGCTCTGAATTCCACTCCTAGCAGCTCTAGGCTACTTACGTATCTGTGGGTTTTCAGGAAGTTAATTTCATCACTGACTTTAATATTTTCATTAGTAGGAGTTAAAACCGTTTAATGAGGCCAAGCTCCCATTTTATTTGCTCACAGTGTGGAGGGACAGTCATTCATAAAGATCACGCAGTCAAAAACCAATTCTCTGCCTTGGTTTCTCCATCCATCAGATCGAAAGGTTCTTTAGCAATAGTCTCTAGGCTTTGTACACCACTCCCTGCAAGCAGTGATGGCATGTATCAGGCCTGGCTTTTTAGCTCTGGACTTGTGATGCTGAGAAAAAAATGCCACCAGTGGTTCTTCTCGGCAAGTATGACGATGAGGTACAAATAACAGATTCATGTGGTATAAAGTTCAGTCTTCCCTCAGGCACATAGTAGAAACATAGAAACAGAGCGAGTCAGAAGGGTCCTCCCTGGCCATCTAGTCTGACCCCTGGCTCTGCTCATGACATGCCCACCATGTGCATGTCCAGCCCATCCTTGAACACCGTCCCTGATGGGGCCTCAACCACCTCCCGTGGAAGCCCATTCCACACCCTTGGGGTCCTGACTGTCAGGAAGTGCTTCCTGGCATCCAGATGGAACCTTGAATGTAAGAGATGAATGGAAAAGAAGGCTGAACCAATGTTCAGTGTAAAGATATGGAGTTAAGTTAAGCAAGCCTGAAGTTAAGCAAAGCAAAACCTGTGGTGCGAGTTGGGCAGGCATGTCTGATCAGCAGGCCGTGTTTCTGCCCTTGGCTGCAGTTCTAGGGTGGAAAGAGGAAGGAGGCTGCAGACATGCCAGATAGGTGCTGCCAGCCATGGAGGTTATCCCTGGGATGCTCCCAGAGGTTGCTGGGAAGTAGAAACAAATTATAATGGCTTCTCAGTTTCAGGAAATATGAAATCCAGTAGTTACTTAAAAGTGGTGGCAAAAGTGATGGAGATATCCAAGAGTGTTGTTCTGGTTTGCAAATCAAGGGAGCACTTCCCGTTTGGCACTCCATATGCAAACACAAATGGGAGCACAAGTTTTGGAAAACGTGTGCAATGCCCAGACTTCATCCACATTTGAAAGGGCACACTTGCACGTGTGTGTGCACTTGCACAGATGTTCAGATCCCTCAATGGTCAGGGAGAATTTCATGTTTTTAATTGGGAAAATGCACTTCCAGTCCAAAATAGAACAATATTTCCCAGTATTAAAAAGATCTAGTTTACAAAATTTATGTTAAAGCAGTTTTTAAAATCGTTGCATTGCATGGTCTCTTAGTAGATGTAAATTTCATAGAATAGACTCCGCAGATAGGAGAGGAGGGGTATATATATATATCCACTTTCTGCTGCACTGTTAAAAGATTTGGGGCATGTGCAGTGTAGACTCCTTACAAGGGTCCATGTAACTTAGTTGGTTACATCCAGGAGTAGATCATATGAAGTCAAAAGCATGTGTACCCAGATGGGGAGGCATTGGATACACCCCCCTCCACTCTGGAAACCACTGTGCAGACGGGCCTGGGTTCGTCCAGTGCCGATCCATGTTCAAAGGGTGATCATCCTTTAGGTGCACTGACCCAATGGATTGCAGCCTGCGCCAACTTTTCTGTTACTTTGTCAATTTGAATTCCATGCCCTTTTCAGCTCATGCTGAGGAAGGTTCGCCTGCTCCAGGAAAGCATGTTGACGGTAGCAAAACGTGTGAATCACCATCGGTGACCTCGTTCGAGTCACATTGCATCAATTTATGCTCATTTATTGGCCAAACATGAGGAACAGCTTCAGGGCATGTGTCACTTTGTGTCGACATATTTACTGTGTTTTTGTGGCGATGCCCTGAACTTGGACTGTCAAACTGCCCAAGTGGACCTTTGTCAGTGCAGATGGATGTTCGTGGAGGTCACTTGTCCTTAAGAGAAGCAAAACAAATGTTTTATCTAGGCAAAAGAGAAAGAAACATTCCCTTTTACAGCAGTCTTGGTTCCTCTCCGTGCCCCGATTGGGCATTTGGTCATCCTGTCCCAAAATTTTAGAACAGGTCAGGGAAATAGGATTGGAAGAATGCTGAAAGGAGTAGGGGCTGCTCCATTGTGAAGAACATTGATAGAGGAGAAGAACTGAAGGAGACTGCAGGGCATTTAGACTAAAATGTAAGATAATTCCCCTAACAGAGCATCATTGAGAACTACTATTCAGCTCATCCCACAATGGTATGAGGTTTAGTGTGAGAGAAAATAGACATAATATGTTATGTTTATATACCTGGTGGGCGAGGCCAGATAGTTGTGGCAGAAGCTCACAGCCAAGAATTAAAATAAGTAAATAATTTAATAAGTGAACAATTAATTAATTAATTAATTAATTAAAATCACACAAAAATATGTGAAGCCTAATTGTAATCCACTACTGAGTACCATTCACTTATTCCTGATGGCACAGTAGTCCCCAGGGTTTTCCCCAAACTGCCACTGGAAGGTCAGATTGGAACCAGTGGAGGACTGGAGCGAGCCCTCTGGCCTGAGCTTTTATGCCCCCGACTTAAAGCCAAGGCTGCGTATTTTCTCTGTAATGGAATGTTAGACTTGGGTGTAGGGGATTGGGCTTGGAAACCAAATTTAATCTGTGTTCATCCATGAAGTTCAGTGGCTAAAGCAGGATCTACTTGGGATCCTTGCAAGAGAGACAAAGGTGGGATATAAATGCATGCATGCATAGGAGAATAGTTGAGGAAAAACCCATAATTTCCCCAATCGCCAAAATGTAAAATAATAACCTATATCTTGCATTTCTTCCCTGAAGCTCCTCTTGTTCTTGAAGGCAGGGACCAGACCGAGAGCTTCATTGAGCCGGATGACTTGTGTGCCTTCATATCATACTTCAAGTCAGGCTCTTTGATAAAACTGGCGCCATCTCTTACGCAAAGCTTTGCAGTTACGGAGTCCGTGCATTCAAGCATAGCATAAAACACCAACCAAAAGATGTGCTGCTGATTCTCTGTCTCTCTCTCTCTCCCTCCACACACAATTTCATATCTCCTCCTGACCCAGCTGATTCTGGGTGCTGTTGTCAGCAGCTCGGTCCATTGCTTGGGGTCTGTTGTGAAGCTGCACACTTAATGTAGCATCTTTAGATTCCATACAGAATCAAATGATAGAAAACTCCTTCTTCCCCCCCCCCCCACCCCCTTCACCCAAAAAATAAATACAGGTTGCTTCTGGAGCTTCTAGAACTTCTCTTTGACAAATTCAACGCGGTTGCCACTGCTCATGCCATCGTCCTGGAGCATCTTCAGCAGACCGTGGCTTCTCCCTCCAGTCAGTATGATGGCGATATCAAGTTGTATGACATGGCAGACGTGTGGGTGAAGATTCAGGATGTCCTGCAGGTAAGAACCAAACACACACCTGGCTTGGCAAGTGTTCTCTTGCTTCCTCCCTCTCCCCTCCCCTTTCTTTCTAGCCCATGCAATGGAATTCTGGGATCTGCCTTTCATTTGGAACAATTGTCTCTTACCCTGTTTTCAAAGTACAACAGAAGGATTTTACTAGGATTTAGGTAACAGCAAAGATAAAGAGGTTGAGATGTCATGCAAGATAGAATTCCCATGGTGATTTCTACCCTCTCAGATATGTTTAGGGATACTTGAACTATGACATGATTCCATAGAAAGTGAATTTTTCTGTCCCAGTTCGATAAGATTGGCTGCTTTTGGTTGACGACAAAGAAATGGAATGTGATTATCTTTCATGTACCCTGATGGCCAAAAAGCTACAGAAGGACAAAACCTGCCTGCTTATTAAGAGGCCCTCCAGGTGTCCCCATCTTCTGAAGGCTTCTGGGTGGCAGAGTTGGGCAGAGTCTTCTCTCTTGTAGGGCCTTGCCTCTGGGCTGTCCAGCCTCCACACATTTACCAGATTCCATCTCTTTTGCCTCCTAGAAAGAGATTTAAGATTGGAGTCCCCCCCCCCCTTAGTTTTTGGTATGACTTGATTCTCCTTATGTTCTTACATTGTAATATTTTCTTTGTTTTAGTTGCTAGTAGTTTTATCACAAAAATTTTGGTTAAGAGGCAAGATGCAAGTATTATAAATAAACAGAATGACACTATACACTGCAGAGGAAAAGCTAGAGAAAGATCTAAGTCTTTGTTTCAGTCAGGGTTGAGGAATGAGGCTTGCAGTAAATCTGACCTTAATAAGTTAGTAGAAGTCTAACAGTTTAACTAGATTGCTCAACTCACATGGGAATGCTGCGAAATAAGAGCACTGGGACGGACCGCATGACATAGTAAGCTACACTGCATAGCAAGGTATGCAGTGTGGTTTATACGCTGCCGTAGCCCTGACGTGCCTGACAGATGATGGGGCCCGTTGGGGGGTGGGTGCATCCTCCCCCCCCACTTGGTGCTTCCACGGGGATCCCAGGGGACTCGGCGAGGAGCGCAAGTTTTCTTCCCCTTACTGCTGCTTGCCAGCATTGGCCGGGAATGAGCAAGCTGTCCTCACCTCGGTCTGAGCTGAAGCAACTTTAACCCGCCGCTGCTACGCCCAGCCTGAGGGAGCCTTTTCCCTGCCAGCCCAAAGCAGCAGGCAAGAACCAGAGAGATGCGGCCGCTGCCTGGGTTGGCAGCAGAGCTGGGCTGGGGGCAGAGGGGAAACACGAGCGGCGTTCTGCCTGGCTTCCTTAGCGGAGGCCGATCAGAGAAGGGCAGTCCCTTTGGTGGCCCCAGATGAAGGGTGGGCAGCGCTCTCCTCTGCCTGTTCTGGAGCTTGCTGGGGAGAACGCAGCTTGGTCCACACCTGCCCGGCACCATGGCTGCTTGGTGGTGGCAGCACTGGCTGGGCCTCTTCCGCCCGGCCTCCTCTGGAGGAGGGTGAACAGAATATAGCCTGCCCTGCACTGCTGTGGCCGCCCAAGGAGCCTCTGACAGCTGCCCCGGATGCCGCTTGGGCGCTTTGGGGCACCTGTCGTCAGTGCTCAGCGCCTTTTGCTCCTGCCGAATGGCTCTGTAGGGGCTTGTGTCGCCCTTGGGTTTAAAGTCAAGCAACGCTTCATGCCCAAGGGGGCTAAGGAAACCTTGCGCAAACCATGGTGTCGAGGAGTGACTTGCAAGTACAGCAGCTGGTCTTACAAACCCCTCCCTCACCCCTGGTAAACTCTCCTAGCTTTGGACACTGTGCTGTGCCACCTGGACTTAACGGGTTGTGTGAACCCAGGCACTGCATCTTCACTGAAATGCCTTTCTACTCCTGTGCAAAGGGTTCACAGAGAGGTCCCAGCCTTGTTTAGATTGTCGGTGGCAGGGTTTGGGTATTTTGAACTAAGGTGCTGTTCAGTTTAGGTATTTCTCTTTCTAGCAGCTCCTGAAACACGGTCACTGAAAACACGGTATCATTCTTATTTATTAGAACTTGAACCTAAACAAGGCATACACGAGGGATTGATAAAAGCTTTCATTATGAGAAAATCAAGATCCTTAAGTGACCTCCCTTGTAATCCTCTAAATACAATCCTGCCCTCGAAAATGAGGTTCTTGTTTGGTCCCGCTGGGCGAGGCAGAGGTGACCTGAAGCTATTCAAAACTTTAATACATGTGAAAGATTTATTTTGAATCCAAGCAGGTAAACAGTGGATGCTTTTCAATGTGCAGGAGATGAGAGCACGCTATACAGGGGAAAGAACAAGAGGTAATAAATGCAGACGATTTATAAAAAAAAACAATATATATAAAGTGCAATATATAGTGCAATACATATAAAGTGCAGAAATAAACTGTGAAACATGATGGTTAGAAAAGAAAATGCAGCTGTATAGGCTGGGTACAGGCTGTATAGGGTAATCTGAGTCTCCCAGAATGCATCTGAGGTAGAGGAGCTCTAGACGCCTTCTGTGGTGGCCCCGTGTTGGCCAAAGAGCATGGCATGCGATCTGCTGTGTGGACGCCCACTTTCTGCTGCATCCTAGGGTGTGACGGGTGCACCAAGGACTGTAAACGTGCACAGTGCGGAAGTTGTGCTTTAGCTCTCGGGCTTTCTGGAGCCGAAGTGCCGAAGGCTGCATTCGACAGCACTTACGGATTGGCATTCTGAGCACGGACTCTTTTGCGTGCCTTTCTGAAAGATCATTTAGTGCATAGAGGGGCTCTGTCTCGAGGGTTTTAATGCCCTCAGCATCCTCCTTTGTACTAATAGAATTGGAGGGGAGCGCTTGCCACGTTATCGAGCGATGCATCAGCAGATTTCAACCTGCCGGGACTGGATGCTGGAGCTGCCTCTTGTCTCTTATGAAAACACCACAGCTTTAAAACGCCTGTCTTCCTGCTCCTGTTGTGGCTGCCGGATAGATGCAGGCTGGGATTTCCAGCAGAGAATTGATTTTCGGCTCTTCCCAAAGCGGTCCAGGTGGAGCTGCTCTTTGGTTCTGGCCAGGTTCTTTCTTAAATACCACTGCATAGCTCAACCGGGCAACAACAGGCATAAACAACCAAGCGCTCCAGGGGGCAAAATCCAGTGTTGGTGTCACTGTTGGTGCTCCTTACACAAACAGCTGGTGAATAGTCCTCCAAATACGATGTGGGTTTGACAGTAGGAGGTTGGGTAGTCAGCTGTTGAGAGTTCCTTCTTAGCACCACATCTGTTTGATGGCGAAGTCACTGTGGGCTGCTGGGATGGGCGTGTTCAGCCAAATCCGGGGTAAGCTTTGCTTGGCCCTTAGCCACTTTTGGCTAGATTTAGGGGTCTGAATTTTCCCTCATGCAAAGGGTGGAACTCCATGTAGAAATGCTATGGGATGGACCTTTCCCCACAGAGAGACTGCGTTTTGCATACTTAGTATTTAGACCAGCTTTCCCCAAACTAGTGGGCTTGAGACAACAGGTCCCACCCTTCTTGACCATTACCCGTGGCTGTGGTTGACGGGAGCTGAGGGCCAAACCGTATGGGGGGGGGGGCAAGTTGGGAGAGGGTGATGCTAAGTTGTTTAAGTTAAGACTCTACATTGCTCATTTAGATTGTCTAATCGTGCAGGAACCAAAAGCTCTACACCTTGGACTAGGGCTTTTTGCAGCCCTGTGATCACATTGTTTTGATAAAATAAATTCCACAGCATTTAGGAGTGATCACAACTCCAGTGCTGGTGCTGCTGAGTTTTGGCTTTTTTCATTACATTTGCAGTACGGTCTCCGCACAGGACTGGAGATACTGGTTAAGTGTCTGTCTGTTACCTGATGCAGTTCCAGCGCTGGCAGGAATGAAGGCTCCAGACTTCCCATCTCTGCAGGCGTTGTTCCTGCTTCCTTGCCTCTGCCTCTCCCTCTCTGCTACAGCAGACCTCCCCACTCTGGGGCCCAACTTCCCCAGCACCCCCTCAGGCAGCCGGTTGGAGGGGGCTCCTCTGCTGTCGAAACTGTAGGCCCTTCACTGCAGGGACCTGCCGTTTGCTTAACTTACTCTGTAAACAGCTGTAAACTGCTACAGTTATCCATGCGCTGGTTACCTTGCCCCGGCTTACCGCAGCGTGCTCTGCGTGGAGCTGCCCTTGAGAACAATCTGGACATTGCAGCATGTTCAAAATTGGGCAGCTCACCTGCTGACCAGGTTGGGTTTTCGTGAACATACCACTCCTGCCCTGTGCAGCTGCATTGCTTGCTGGTTGATGTCCAGGCCGAATTCAAAGTGCTGACAATAATGTAGAAAGCCCTAAATGACTTGGGGCCAGGGTATCCGAGGACCATCTTTGCAGGGGACGGGGTATGACGCGAGACTGAGGGAAGTGGGTCACTTCAGCCTGGAGAAGAGGAGACTCCGAGGGGATCTATTGGCCACATACAGGTATGTGAGGGGGTGTCACACGGAGATGGGTAGAGACCTGTTCTCCCCTTCAGAGGAAGACAAGATGCATTCCAACGGAGCAAAGTTCAGGGAGCCAAGGTTCAATTTGGATGCCAGGAAGCACTTCCTGGCAGTTAGGACCCCAAGGGTGTGGAATGGGCTTCCACGAGAGGTCATTGAGGCCCCATCGGTGCGGGTGTTCAAGGATAGGCTGGACATGCACATGGTGGGCATGTAGTGAGCGGAGCCGGCTGGAGCCGGGGGGTCAGACTAGATGGCCCAGGCAGTCCCTTCTGACTCGCTCTGTTTCTATGTTTTTATGTTTCTATACCTGTTATTGGGAGAATGAGCCTCTGCCCTGTGTGGCTTTTTAGGATTGCTGACAGTTCTGGACTCTGGAGTAATTTAGAACACTTTTTGAAAATGAGCACATTTCTGGCTTTTAGTAAAGTAATGCTTCCATCACTGGACATGACCTTACACTGGGCAGGTTTGCATGTTGCGCTGAAGCACCCTGCAGATGAGCCGTGTGGGTTGGCTGTGCACCAGTCAGAGG